TATGGAGAATGCTTAAAATAGAGACAGCACATGCACCACAAGGACATCACCCGGATTTGACGTCATTGCACATGGCACACTGTAGGGGGACATTCTATCGTTTGGGGAAAAAACTCTATGGTAACCATAGAGTTTTCCCCTCAAATGATACAGTGTCCTCCCACAACATGCCCTGTGCGATGACATCACCTCCAGGTGACATCATTGCACCAGGCACATTGGCACAGATGGGGCTCTTTGGGGGCTGGTTCCCCCCCCGGATAGATTGGGGCTGGTGTATCGAGGCCCCCCAAAGCAGGTAAACCCCTGCCCCCATTGAGAGAATGGCAATCCTAGATAAGAAAAGGTGACTTTTAGATCACAGGGTGATACGGGCACTGCCAATTTTACTGTAAGCCATGCATTACAAGGCCAAGTGGCTTTGGTGGGATTCTGTCATGTATTTATTTATTTATTTATTTATTTAACTTTTGACTTTATATCCCACTCGAACCCCCTTTTTCAGGGAGTCTCTGAGTGGCTTACAGGCAGGTGCTAATCACAATTGTTCCCTAACTAGGGCCACACATTTCTATACAGGGGTGGGACTACCCTGTGGTGGTTGGTGTTGTTCTTGACTTGGCTCTTTAGGACTTTTCTTCAGCAGTCTCCAGCGGGGTGCTCACTTCGGCGCTCGGGTGCACGACTCATGCCTTCTTCCGGCCCCAGCAACGTCCTTTTCGGCTCCGCTGTGCCCGCGCTCGATGTCATCGCGCGCCCTTTTGACGGCATTCACTCGATGTTTCTTTCCTTGGACACCATGGATCGCCCCTCCGGTCGTGCTTGCTTGCTGCCATCGTCACATCGCCATGCCGCCTCCATCTCCGTCTGCACTGGAGCCGAAGCCTTGCTGCCGCCGTTTTCACCCACCACACCTAAGGAGGGTGCCCCCCATCCTACTAAGGGTGGGTACCCATTTATCTACTCGCAATTAGTTGCTTTTGAAACACTGGGTGGGCGGGAGCTGGGGAAAGGGTCGGGAGCTCACCCCGATCATGGTGGTACTCAAACAGCCATAGTGGCTGCTTGAGTGATGTTGTTAAAGCAGATGTTTTACTGCCTGTGCCACCGCTCCCTTAGCGGTGTAGGAGAGCCACCAAAGTCACTCTAGGATATGTTAAGATTGACCAAATCTTTGCCTGATTTGGAAGATCAGGAGAGAAGGCAAGCTGGGCCAGTGGTGGATAGGATCCCTGAAAAGTGGGGGAACCCCCGTTGAGAAATGGGGGCTGGTAACCCTAGTCACGGCATCAAATCATTGGAGCTCTCTCTCCAGGGAGATTCATCTTTCCCTTTCTGTTGCAGCCTTCTACCAGTGTTTCATGTGATTTTCCCACAGGGAGCCCTCCTTCCTAACCAACACTTTCTTTGTTGTTTTTTATGTTTTGTATGTATTTTAACTTTATGTTTTGTATGTATTTTTAAAAAGTGTTTTAATGATGTGTGTTTTGGGGGGGTTGATTTTAATAGTTTAAAAACGGTGACTTTATTATGTATGTTTTAAATCACTCGCTGCCTTGGTAGCCCTTGTAAGTGCTGAAGTACGGGATACAAATTTTGAAAATAATAATAGTTGTAATAATAAGAGAGCTAAGAATGGACATTAAGAAAAAGGCAGTTCAGAATTTTGAAGTGAAACCAAATTGGCTAATGAGAAGGGGGGGGTCAACAAATGCCATTCAGACATAAGTGCCTTGAAAGAATTTTTTTTTTAAAGGAAAGTCAAGAATGAAAGAAGAAAAGCAAATCTCAGAAAGAAATGCAAATGAGATATAAAAACAATAGCTCAAGTTGCAGAAGAAATCAAGCAAAGAATTGTTGCAATATCCAAGAAGATCAAGAGGTACAATAGTATGATCCAGCAATACACACAAATTTCCAATTCCAGACTAACCAAAGACAGTTCTACAAATCACTAGAGGGAGATGAAAAAGTAAAAGTAAAAAATAAAGATAAAGAAAAGACAACAACCTTATCATAACTATGGCTTGCCCAAGGTCATCCAGCTAGGTGCAAGTGGAGGAGTGGGGAATCAAACCTGGTTAACCACTACACCAAACTGGCTAATATAAACACAATATTAAAATGCCATATTAATATCAGATATAATGATTGATGATGATGATGATGTGCTAGACTCTTCAACATCAACCACATTGGTCTGCTCAGATGTCCTGAGAAGTACTTCAGATGTCATAAATTGTCATAGATCGTAAGGAGGGGATTCGTTCGGTGCATAGTTGAGGATCCCGGGGTAAGGGCTCTTCACCTTATGATGTTAGTTCTTATTATTAATAACAATGGTGGTTGTGGTGGTTATAGCGGCGGCGGTGGCTCCAAAAGCCTGGCAGAAAAGCTCCATTTTACAGCCCTGCAGAACTGTAGAAGGTCCCACAGGACGCTGAACTCCTCTGGGAGCTCGTTCCACCAGACTGGAGTCACCATCGAAAAGGGCTCTTCACCATATGATGTTAGTTGTTATTATTAATAACAATGGTGGTCGTGGTGGTAATAGCGGCGGCGGTGGCTCCAAAAGCCTGGCAGAAAAGCTCCATTTTACAGCCCTGCAGAACTGTAGAAGGTCCCACAGGGCCCTGATCTCCTCTGGGAGCTCGTTCCACCAGACTGGAGTCACCACTGAAAAAGCTCTGGCCCTGGTTGTCACCAGCCTGGCCTCCTTAATATTTGGGAGGACCAGCCGACTCTGGATCCCTGATCGCAGCACTCTCTGGGGTACATATGGGGAAAGACGGTCCTTCAGGTATGCAGGTCCCTGGCCATAAAGGGCTTTAAAGGTAAGAACCAGCACCTTGAAGCAGATCCGGTAAGTTATAGGCAGCCAGTGCAATGCCTGTAGCACAGGCTGGATATGCTCCCAAGTAGGGAGTCTCATCAACAGCCTGGCTATTTTTGCACCAGCTGCAGCTTCTGGATTTGCCAAGATGCCAAATATCAACAATCAGTTTGGAGAAAACTACAAATAACTTGGAATTTTGGAAGATGACAATATAAAGCATACCTTTTAAAAGAAAAAGAAAAAAGAGTATTACCAAAGAGTTAAAAAGTTATAGTGAACAAACTTAAATGGTGGTGACATGGAAAAGCAATTAACATGTGGGCAGTTCCAGCTCTAAGATACAGAGCTGGCATTATTGATTGGAAACAAGAAGAATTAGAAGCAATAGATTGCAAAACTCATAACTGACTATCAAGAATGTCATGATAGAGTTGCAGCTATGTTGCACTAGAATGTTTGCAAGAAATATGAATTACCATCAGCAAGAAGTTCATGGGAACACAAACCAAACAAGATCATGAAGAATGATGCAACAAAAATTCTTCAGTACCTCTGACTGCAATCAGATCAACACCTGAAGCAAAGCACTCTGATATTAAAATTGTAGGAAAAAAGGAGAAATAGGGTTTGGATCATTGACACTGTAATCCCAGGAGACAGCAGAATAGAAAAGAAAGAACAGGAGAAGACCATGAAATTCCAAGACCTACTAACCAAGTTAGAGCGCCTCTGGGAGAAGAAAGTTACTAGTGTAGTAGTGCAAAGAAGTCTTAAGAAAAACCCAGACATTCTGGACATTGAGTAAATAATAACAGCTCAGCTCCAGAATCCTACAAAGATACCTCTGCATTTCCCAAGAACTTGGCTAGAACTCGAATTGCAGAACACCATCCACTATATCTGACTGTGGCAATTCATAATAATAATAGGGGGAAATTAGATATATCAAAACCTTCAACAATGTGTAATTGAGATTTTAAAATGTGTGTCCTTTTTTTCTTGGTGAAAACGTCTTTGTATCTGTTATCAAGGGTTCATCTCTCCTGCCTCAAGGTATCATCTTCTGCAGAACTTCAAAGGATGACTGTATTGCCGGGAGCACCTTGGCACAGCTTGTTTTATTGCAGGCAGTTGTCAACATCTGTTAATGCACATAAGAGCAGAGCAAATAATGCTGATTTTTATTAAATGGGAAAATAAATAATTCCATGCACATTATTTTTCATTTCTCTCTAAGTGTTCTGACACGTTGGCAGATGTATAAATATCATTTTCTGGCACAGCCATTTATTAAGAAACATTGCCTTGCATTTACCATTTTTTATATTTTTGCCTGTGTTTATGCATAACCACCTGAAAAGACTACAAAACCTATGATTCAGTGCCTAGAATTCCACAAATGAAAAGTTTCCCTCAGTCAATTGGGTTCTTACAGAAGGCCAGAGTCTTCCAATCTATGCCTGGTGGGATAAATCTGGACTCATTTAAATTAAACTAGGCAATATTGTAACTCCCAACACTATGTAGTACTGAACAGCTTATGAAGACCTGCTCTCAGTCCACAAAACATCTCCTATTTAATGCCTTTTTATCGATATACCAGTAACAATGAAAAATGCATATTATTTTGGAGGGACATTCAGTGTGATGAAACAGCTCTATATTCTTCATACCCAGTTACACAAAAGTTACAAAAAATATGTCCAGCTGTATGTCACTATAGATTCTGTAAATGCTATTCAAGCTTTTACTTTTAATACCAAGAAAAATCTGGAAACAAACTCTTGAAAAATGCCTCAAACAGGCAGTGGGTTTATATTGGGAAAATATTTAAGTTACTGGCTGTGAATGCTTTGCTTGTTCAGCCTTAGCAAGGTACTTATTAACTGTAGTATATTTTTATAGAGGAAGAAAACACCCCAACAATCATTTTTCGTAACATTGCGCAAGATTAGCTAACATGACATTGTGATTTTTGTTTGGGTGGGTTGAATCAGTGTTAATATGTAGTGCCAAATTTATGACACAAAATTAAAGGGCAATTTCTTGTCAAAATGACAAACTGAGCAAAAAGGTGTAATTAAATCTGGTTTACATGGGTATCTAATTCAGTATCCATGAGCAAAGGGGGGGGGGAATCTCACGCTCCGGATTGTCTTTAAATGACTATAAAAGCTTTTTGTGTTCTGCAAAACCTGCACATTTCACCTCCAGGCTGTGAGACTTGTTCTGTTACTCCTCGTGGAGCCAGGTGAGTTTGATTATAGAAATCCCTTATGGATAACTGGAAAAATAAAATAACAATTGTAATTATGCCTGTGTGCGCACGTGTGTATCTCTTTCTGTAGAGAAATAAGATCTTCTAACAGCACAAAGAGATAATTTAGGTGACTGCGTAAAGGATAGAAGCTCTAGCTCGATGACTTGCTTTGCACGTGGTTTCATCTGCTCCAGCAAGATAGTCCTTGCATTAATTTGAGATGATCACCATGATAATCCACTGAACACAGCTGGAGATTGTTGAAGTTCATTTTATGGGACAAAGAGGGATCAGTGTTGGTGTGGGTCCCCTAGGTTTTGTGGTTGAAATGAATTAACAGACAGTATTTGCTATGGCTGCCCTGACCTGGATAAACACAGGCTAGCCTGATCTCATCAGATCTTGGAAGCTAAGTGGGGTCGGCCCTGATCAGTATTTGGATGGGAGACCACCAAGGAATGCTGGGGCTGTGACACAGAGGCAAACCACCTCTGAACATCTCTTGCTTTGAAAACCCCATGGGGCCACCATAAGTCAGCTGTGACAGACAGACAGACAGACAGACAGACAAATAGATAGAGATGATAGATAGATAGATAGATAGATAGATAGATAGATAGATAGATAGATAGATAGATAGATAGATGATAGATAGATGATAGATAGATGATAGATGATAGATAGATAGATAGATAGATAGATAGATAGATAGATAGATAGAGATAGATAGATAGATAGATAGATAGATAGATAGATAGATAGATAGATAGATAGATGATAGATTAGACAGATGGATGGATGGATAGATGGATAGATAGATGATAGATAGATGATAGATAGATGATAGATAGATGATAGATAGATTAGATAGATGATGATGATAGATAGATAGATAGATAGATGATAGATAGATAGATAGATAGATGATAGATAGATAGATAGATAGATAGATAGATAGATAGATAGATAGATAGATAGATAGATAGATGATGGATGGATGGATGGATGATGGATGGATGATGGATGGATGATGGATGATAGATGATAGATGATAGATGATAGATAGATAGATAGATAGATAGATGATAGATAGATAGATGATAGATAGATACATAGATTAGATAGATAGATAGATAGATAGATAGATAGATAGATGATAGATAGATAGATAGATAGATAGATAGATAGATAGATAGATAGATAGATGATGGATGGATGGATGATGGATGGATGATGGATGGATGATGGATGATGGATGATGGATGATGGATAGATAGATAGATAGATAGATAGATAGATAGATAGATAGATAGATAGATAGATGATAGATAGATGATAGATAGATGATGGATGGATGGGCGGACAGATGATGGTTAATTATTGAATAGACTGAGATGTCTCCTACTGAATCTGGCTATGGTGCATCTAGTTCCATGTTCTTAACAGATCTTGAATGTCTCCAGCTGAGAAATGTCTCTCCCAGAACCTGCCACTTGAGGTCTATTCAACTGAAGATGTGTTGGGGAATGAATCTGGCACCTCCTGTATGCAAAGCAGATGCTCTGACACTGAGCCACAGCCCTCCCCCAAAAGTTCTTACAGCAAGTCAGTCCTTTGACTCACCTTTCTCAGTGGTGTCTTCTCTGGCAGGCAGCAGACGACTGCAGGAAGATAAGAAAGTTTCCTGTCCCTCGAGCCAGTGGTCCTTTTTATCTGCCAGTGATTGGATCTTGAGATGCTACTGAAGCAGTATTATACTGAGCCCATCTAGCTCAGAATTGTCTACTTGAACTGCCAGCAAGTCTGTAGTTTCTCAGGTAGACAGCAGTCTTTCCCCAAAGCCTGCTGCTTTTAACTGAAGATGCCCCAACTTGAAACCGTGATGTTCTACTTGTAAAACAATACATAACAGCATAGGCACCTGTCCTGTAAGATAGACTATTATCAAAATATGTGCTGTTACCACTAAGCCACAACCTCTCCTCAACAGAATATAGTTCACTATTTTTCACCCTGGTTGATGGTGACTCTATAGGGACTTGGGCAGAGAGGGCTGTTTCCTACTGCTCACTTCTGACGATTCTTTAGGTAGAAATCCCGGGTATCTGAAGAAGTGAGCAGAGACCAGGAAAGCTCATAGGCTGGATCTGAAGAAGTGAGCAGTGACCCACAAAAGCTCATAGCCTGCCACATATTTTGTTAGCCTTTCATTGTATTTATTTATATTTTATTTAATTAATTTATATCCCGCCCTCCCTGCCGAGGCGGGCTCAGGGCGGCTTACAAGCAATTCAATATACAGTTAAATAGAGTAAAAATACAATAAAACTTAGTATAAACTTATAATTTACATTAAGATAACAGTCAATTAAAAACAGATGTATAAAACGCTGGAACACACCCAAGTAACAAGCGGAGCAGTTCTTATAAACATGGTTTAGGTGACTGTTAGATCATAGAATCATAGAATGTTAGAGTTGAAAGAGACCTTGCAGGTCATCTAGTCCGACCCCCTGCACTCTGCAGGACCATAGCCGAAAGAGAGCCCTACATACCTACATACCTGCAACATATTTGAAAGACAGTCATCCAGCTTCCACTTGAAAACGTCCATCAAAGGAGCATCCACCACCTCCCGAGGCAGATTGTTCCACTGCTCAACCACTCTTACAGTTAGGAAGTTTCTCCTGATACTTAGCCGGTAATGACTCCCTTGTAATTTCCACCCATTAGATCGAGTCTTGCAATCCAGAGCAAGAGAGAATAGATCTGCTTCATCTTCTACATGACAGCCCTTCAAATACTTGAAGACTGCAATCATGTCCCCTCTAAGCCTTCTCTTTCCCAGGCTAAACAGACCCAACCCTTTCAGCCTTTCCTCATAAGACTTGGATTCCAACCCTCTCACCATCCTGGTTGCCCTCCTCTGGACACACTCGAGCTTGTCAACATCCTTCCTAAAATGTGGTGCCCAAAACTGGACACATGACTCCAGGTGAGGCCTGACCATGGCAGAATAGAGTGGAACTACCACCTCCTGTGATCTGGACACAAGGCTTCTGTTAATGCATCCTAATATTGCATTCGCTTTCTTCGCAGCCACATCGCACTGCAGGCTCATGTTTAGCTTGTGATCAACCAGAACACCTAGATCCCTTTCACATGTGCTGGTGTCGAGCCAAGTCCCTCCCATTCTATATCAGTGCCTTTGATTTTTTGTACCTAAGTGTAGGACTTTGCACTTCTCTCTAGTGAAATCCATTTTATTTGTCTCAGCCCACTGTTCCAGCCTATCTAGATCATTTTGAATCCTGACTCTATCTTCTTCAGAATTGGCAATCCCACCCAGCTTTGTGTCATCTGCAAATTTGATAAGCATCCCCTCTATGTCTTCCTCCAGGTCATTTATAAAAACATTGAACAAGTACAGTTCCTGTTTATTATGCGGTGAGCACAGGTCAGGATTTCAGTGGTAGGACTCAGGTTACAGGCTGGAAAGCCAGTGTGCTGGTCAGTGCTCCCTCTAAGCTGAGTTAGTGTGAGCTAGCTCACAGTTTTTTAGCCTCCGGCTCACACATTCTTGTCTTATCTCAGGAAGGAGTGCCCCAGAGCAAACTAATTTATGCAGTAGCCCAATCGCTCGCTCACAACTTTAATGCCAGTAGCTCACAAGGCAGAAGTTTTGCTCACAAGACTCCACAGCTTAGAGGGAACATTGGTGCTAGTGGACTCTTGCTCTTTTCTACTGAGATTTTCCATATATGAAACCCAATGAAGCTGCCATCAGGCCACTGGTTCGTAAAGGTCATTATTGTCTAAGACCGCCAGTAGCTCTCTAGGGCCTCAGGGTGAGGTCTTTCACAACATCTCCTACCCAATCCTTTTAACTGAAAATGCCAAGGATTGAACTTGGGACCTTTGGCATGACAAGCAGATGTTCTACAACTAAGCCACAGCACCTTATTTGGCTGTTCCCCTAATACTATCCAGTGCCAAGCTTCTGCTGCATTCTTAGTGGATCTTTCCTTTGTTTATTAATCTGTGTATTTAGTTAACAAATTTATGTGAAACTGGCTAAGTCAAATTATCAAAAGGGTCTACAATATAGTCCAAATTCAACCAGGTGAAGAATGGTAAAATACAACATCGCAAACAGCCCACCAAAAGTTGTAAGATAATTACCAATGTTTATTATACAAAACTTTTGGGGGGAAAGGAGGAAGGGGGAGGGAGGAAGAGGAGGAAGAAAAGGAGGTGAAGGAGGAGGAGGAGGAGGAGAAGAAGAAAAGCAAACAGCCCTCCAAAAGTTTGGACCAGCAGGAAAAACTAACCAATTAACCAGCTTACAACCAAACTAGTAAAATAGCCTTGGGAACTTTGTAAACAAATGAAAATGATGGCTATAACATGCACTGAATTCCTGGGACAGAGAGGGTTAGTGGTTTATAAAAAACATTGCTGGTGGGGATGCCCACTAATTAAAATTTTTTGGGTAAGAATACTTAAAGAAATTTCTAATATCACAGGCTGTAGGTTACCTAACACTCCAGAGTCAGTTCTATTAAATCAATGGTCGAGTCTTTCCTTATCCAAGCAGAAGATAGAGATGTTAACATTGCTACTTTATGTGGCCAAAACTAGTCTAGTGCAGAGATGGAATCAATCAAATGTTCCCACAACTAAAATATGGATTGCTAAAGTCTGGGATGTTATAGTAGCAGACAAACTTGCAACCCAAATAGCAATAGCACAAACACCAAATAAGCCAAACAATTTTGTAGAAAAATTGAATTCTTTTTTTTACTATATTTCAAATGGAGAAAATAGTTTATACGATATTCCTGATAAGTATACAAAATGTGCATTTTACTAAGATACAGGGAGATGGATGTAATGTTTTGGAATCCTCACTTGTATCACTCCATTAGCTCGCAATGTTAAGCTTTGAGCCGACGAAGGCTCCTCTGAACCAACATATGATTGGTCGCCCTGTAACAGCGACCAATCAGGTTAACGCACAGTCCCCGAGCGGGAAGAACTGCTATTGGTCTTTATCTAAGCAACCTTATTGGTTGATTATTGTAAATAGGTGTGGCTATGTTAGCCTGGGAATGTTTAAAAGGAGCCTAGCTCCCAATGTTAAACTGTTCTGGTTTTGAATGCGTTTGAGTGTTTGTTCGCTACTTCAATAAAGCTGAAATCACTTGCTGAAACCACTCTCCGAGTCTTTGTTAGTACGATCTAACAATGGAAATGTTTAAATGTATATTAGTGCTACCTATTAGCAATTGCAGCATGTTGTAAAGGTTATAGACAGTTGGTTATATTTTGTAGTGGAATATTTTGCATTATAACATTAATGATTCTGATGTTATATAGTTATTGTTAGGTTTATAAAATAAAAAACAATTATGAATAAAAAAATAAAAATAAAACTAATATCTTTTGTCTCTGTCAGGATTTGCTGAAAAGATGTCTTCCCAACAAACACATTACCCAACTAACCAGCCATCCTGCACAGGCAGCTCAACAACGGGCCCACCAAAGAAGACCTCTGACCAAGGCTCACCCAGTTGTGGGTCACCTCAAAGTCAACAGAAGAAGCAGCCTCCTCCACAGTGCCCACAAGCGCCTAAATAACATCTCCTGAGGAAAAGAAGAGAAGGGTAATAGCCGAGCTGAAGTCTAAATGAAGACCTCCCACTTCTCTTCTTTTGTTTTTGCCCTGGGTTACATCGCTGAAAGTGCTCGCGTGCAAATTCTATGACTACCGCTTTCTCTTTGATAATGTGTTCCTTTGGTTTGTCAAATGTTAAGTAACAAAAAAAATAGACACACTTTAAGCTGTCATTATTTTTAGACAGGGCGTTGAGTTACTTACGAGTGCTCTCCAAGAAAATAACACCTCAGGACATTTCTTCAGAAAATTAGTAACATCATATCTCCGAAATGTTTCTTTAATGAAGTATTATTCATTTTTTTGGGGGGGGATATTTGGGTTTGTGGTAAAAAATATAAACTGGGGCACAGCTTCCTTCAACCAAAGAAGTATTGCTGATTTTGGCCATGGGAAGGGCAGGGGCTTAGAGGTAGAAAATCTGCTTGACATACAGAAGGTCACAGGTTCAATCCCAGGCATCTCCGGTTAAGAGGATCAGGACGTAGGTGATGTGAAAGACCCCTATCCGAGACATGGGAGAGCTGCAGCCAATCTAAGTAGATGATACTGATTCTGATGGACCAAGGGTCTGATAAGGCATGCCATGTCATGTCATCTAACTCGTTATATGATGAGGGAGTCCAGGGCTCTTTTTGTAGAAAAAGTCCAGCAGGAACTCATTAACATAATAGGCCACACCCAACACCAGAAACCTATTAGCACATTAGGCCACACCCCTGCCAGCACAGCTCATTAGCACATTAGGATGCACCCCCATGTTACCAGAAGTGTGGTCATCCAGCCACACCCACCTTTTGCTTCTTATTCTGTTTACCTTGTTTGTTGTCGAAACCCAGGGCCTTTTTTTGTAGCAGGAACTCCTTTGCATGTTAGGCCACACACCCCTAATGTAGCCAATCCTAATGTGTTTCTGCTGTTGGGTGTGACGTATTATGCTAATGAGGTTCCTGCTGGGTGTGGCCAACTTGGGAGCCAGCTGGAACTCCGTTCCTGTGCGTTCCTGCCCAAAAATAGCCCTGAGGGAGTCTCAATCAGTTCTGACTCTTATTTCTTAACCCAACCATGTCATACGTAACTTCAGGTTTGCTGGGTGAGATGTAACAGTTTCAACTTTCCTTTGCTTCATCTGTCAAATGGGCTCCATGTGTCACTTCCACACACAGCACAACACAAGACCACTTTCATATGCACACACACACACAGTACACAGACACTATCATTTGAAGCAAAGATACATGCAAAATCAACCTTGAGTGGTTTCAAGCAAGAATTTGACATTTACGCATGATGTCCTAGTGGTTCAATGAATTTCATCTACAGTCCACTGTGTATCTTGATATCTCCCAAGAACATCATAAAAGCATTGAGTTGGAAGAGAGCTCCAGGGTCACCTAGTCCAACCCCCTGCACAATGCTGGGAATTCACAAATACCTCCCCCCAAAACACACCTCCAGTGACCCCTGTTCCAGGTCCAAGAAGATGGCAAAAAAGCCCCAGGATTACTGGCCAATAGGCCTGGAGAAAAATTGCTGCAAGACCCCAAAGTGGTGATCAGCATTTCCTTGGGTGTGTAAGAAAGGGCTATGAGAACTAGAAGAAGAGATTGGATTTATACTCCACCCTTGACTACCCAATGGAGTCTTAGAGCAATTTACAATCTCTTCCCCTTCCCACAAAAGACAGCCTGTGAGATAGGTGGGGCTGAGAGAGCTCTCTCGAGAACTGCCCTTGAGAGAACAGCTCTGACAGAACTTATGACTGACCCATGGTCACACCAGCAGGTGCAAGTGGAGGAGTGGGGAATCAAACCTGGTTCTCCCAGATTAGAGTCCGCATTCTTAATCACTACACCAAACTAAGTACTGATGCAACCCTTCCTGCCCTCCTTCTCATCATAAGAACATAAGAACAACCCTACTGCATCAGATCAGTGGTCCATCTTGCCCAGCATCCTGTCACATACAGTGGCCATCCAGTTCCTCTGTTGTCACTTCCTTTGCTCTGGTATTCAGAGATTTACTGCCCCTGAATGTGAAGATTCCTTTCCGTCACTATGGCTGGTAACCACTGATAGACCTCTCCTTTACACATCTGTCTAATCCCCCTTTAAAGCCATGTATGCCTCTGACCATTACTACATCACAAACATCCTCTGGCAGTGAACAACACATTTTAATCACTGTGTAAGGAAGTTATTTCCTCTTGTCCATTCTGAATCTACTGCCTATCAGCTTCATCAGAAGCCCTCAAGTTCTAGTGTTTTGGGCGAGAGAGAGAAAAAAGTTTGGTCTTGAGGCTTTAAACGAAAAGGCCTTTAATCAGAGAGCCAGTTTGGTGTAGTGGTTAAGTGTGTGGACTCTAATCTGGGAGAACCGGGTTTGATTCCCCACTCCTCCACTCTCACCTGTCTGGATGACCTTGGGCAAGCCATAGTTCTGATAAGAGCTGTCCTTGAAAAAGAGCAGTTTCTGTCAAGAGCTCTCTCAGCCCCACCTACCTCACAGGGTGTCTGTTGTGGGTAGGGGAAGGGAAAGGAGTTTGTAAGCCGCTCTGAAACACCTTTGGGTAGTGAAGGGCGGGGCATAAATCCAATCTCTTCTCTTCTACTTCTTCTTCAGAATGCTTCCATCAGACAAGGTACTCCCATGTGAGAGAGTCCAAGAACATTCCTGATAGATCAAGGGACCCTGCTTTGATATCAAGCTGGATCATTTATCCAGAATTCTGTCAACCAAGTCAAGGGTTTGGAAAAAAGCTTTGGAAAAAGAGCAGAAAAGGGCAACTCAAATGATAAAAGGGTTGGAACACTTTCCCTATGAGGAAAGGTTAAAGCGCTTAGGGCTCTTTAGCTTGGAGAAAAGACGACTGAGGGGTGACATGATCGAGGTTTATAAGATTATGCATGGGAAAGAGCAGGTAGAGAAAGAGGTACTTTTCTCCCTTTCTCACAATACAAGAACTCATGGGCACTCCATGAAACTGCAGAGCGGTCGGGTTAGAACGGATAAAAGGAAGTACTTCTTCACCCAAAGAGTGATTACCACATGGAATTCACTGCCACAGGAAGTGGTGGCGGCTACAGGCATGGACGGCTTCAAAAGGGAATTAGATAAGCATATGGAGCAGAGGTCCATCAGTGGCTATGAGCCACAAGGTATAGATAGGGACACTGGGGCAAGTGATGCTTTGTCTTCTTGATGCTTGGGGGGGGGGTCAACAGGGGGAGGGCTTCTAATGTCCTGGCCCCTCCTGATGGCACTGGTATTTCTGGTCACTGTGTGACACAGAGTGTTGGACTGGATGGGCCTTTGGCCTGATCCAACATTGGCGGCTCTTATGTTCTTATGTTCTTAAGGGTTGTGCGAGGCTGGGGTTGCCAACATCCAGGTGGGGTCTGGAGAGCTCCTACTATTACAATAGTTCCTCAGACTACACAGATTTATAGCCCACCCTTCCCACAAGCAAGCTAGGGGGAAGTAACATCCTTTTAAAAGAAGGAGGAGGAGGAAGAGGAGGACGAGGAGGAGATTGGATTTATACCCTGCCCCTCACTACTCGAAGGAGTCTCAGAGCGGCTTACACTCTCCTTTCCATTCCCCTCCCCACAACAAACACCCAGTGAGGTAGGTGGGGCTGAGAGAGCTCTTTCGAGGACCAACCATTCCCTTCTGGGGAACCATTGTTGCCAATCTCCAGGTGAGGGCTGGAGATCACTCAGAATTACAACTGTTCTTTAGGTAGCAGAGATCAGTTCCTCTGGAGAAAATGGTGGACTCAGTGTCATTATACCCTGCTGAGGTCACCACAGCAAATTGACACTGAGTGTCCAAGGCCGGGGCACCCACCCAGAGCCTCTTTCTAGAGGCCGTTGTATTTATTTCCACAGTGGGCCTTTTTCCTAGTACAAACATATACAAAAAGTACAGTAGTCGTTAAGAGCGGCGGACTCTAATTTGGAGAACTGGGTTTGACTCCCCACTCCTCCACATGAAGCCAGCTGGGTGACCTTGGGTCAGTCGCAGTTCTCTCAGAGCTGTTCTCTCAAGAGCAGTTCTCTCAGAGCTCTCCCAGCCCCACCTACCTCAGAGGGTGTCTGTTGTGGGGAGAGGAAAGGAAGGAGATTGGAAGCCGCACTGAGACACTGAGTGAAGGGCGGGGTATAAATCCAACTTCTTCTTCTTTTGCCTTTTCTTTAAAATGTCCATTGGGAACGACATGATTACTTCTGATTAAAGATCTTCGTCATTGTGACCATTTCAAGCCATGAGAAACACAGAAAGACTGGTAGACAGGAAGTGGCTTCATCAAGGAGGAAATTCACGGTAGCATTGGAAAAAGTGCTTCTGTTGATGATGCTTAGGTATGTTAAGCAGCTGATGGCTACAAGCCTGAAATATGATACTATCTTTTTTACTCCAAGGAGAACATAAATGGAAAATCCCTTTGATATTTCAGAGCTTCAGCATAAAACTGCAGTAGCTTACGTGCTCGCAATAGCATGCGGTTCAACAAGACAGAAGAGATGGATTAAATAAACAGATCCTGGTGTAGAAAGGATGGGGAAATGAACAATCCCTGGGTGGGTACATTTTTGATGAGTCAGAATTCTGAGTGAGTCATCAAATCAATTGAGAGGAAGCAGAGGAAGCAAAGAGTATTCCAAAGGCAATCTTACTGGATCCAGGGAATGCTGTTGATGTTGTTTACCCAGGGAAATGGGTGGACCGTAAGTTAAATATGAGCAACCAATGTGATGCAGCAACAAAAAAGGCTAACGCGATCTTGGGGTGTATCAACAGAGGCATATCCAATGTTCCCTCTAAGCTGTGGAGTTTTGTGAGCAAAAATTCTGCTTTGTGAGCTCCCGGCATTAATGTTGTGAGTGAACAATTTGGCTACTGCATAGATTAGTTTGCTCTGGAGCCATCCTCCCTGAGCGAAGTCAAAAATGTGTGAGCCGCAGGCTAAAAAACTGTGAGCTAGCTCACACTAATTCACCTTAGAGGGAACACTGGGCATATCATCCAAACTGCAGGATGTCATAGTCCCGCTGTACACTGCATTGGTCAGGCCTCACATGGAGTCTTGTGTGCTGTTCCAGAGGACTCACTTCAAAAAGGGTGTGGACAGAATGGAACGGGGTGCAGAGGAGAGTGATGAGGAAGATCGGGGGCCTGGAGACCAAGAAGCCCTAGTAGGAAAGGCTGATGAGGGACTTGGGGATGTTCAGTCTGGAGAAGAGGAGGTTGAAGGGGGACAGGATGGCTCTCTCTTTAAGGA